GATTATACTTCGACCCGAATAAGGAAGTATATATTAATATAGACGTATTAGACTACGCTATAGGAGCTAGATTATAATAAAAAGATAAAAACGGAAAATTACGACTAATAGTATACTATGCTAGAATAATGACACCGGCGGAATAGAATTATAATATCTATAATAAAGAACTATTAGTAATAGTTATTATATTTAAGAGATAGAAATAAGAATTGCAAGGAACCAAACACCGAGTTATAGTAATAAGCGATTACTAGAATTTAATATATTTTATAATAACGAAAGAATTAACTTGACGATAATTAAGATAGTATATAGAAACCTTAGTATACTATAACTTTAGGATATAATATTATAAAAGAATAGAGAATGCTTTCGTAGACGCGCTAAGTAGAAGATCGGATTTAATAATAAAATAGTGAGAATATAGAGTAATCTTACGTCTAGATCTAGATACTAGTAATATAGTCTTAGATATATAAGTATTAAGGGCTACTAGGATAGTTATATCCGATGCGGATACTCTAGAAACTAAGGTATAGAAGTATTTAGAACGAGACTCCTTAGTTAGAAGGCTCTCGGGCTTAAGTAAGTATTATAGATAAGAGAATAGTTTACTCTTATACTAGGGATTAATATATATACCTAAGGAAGTACAATAATAAGTACTAAAAGAAAGTCATGATAATTTAAGTATAGGATACTTTAAAATTAAGAAGACTATAAAACGAATTACGAGATCTTATTATTAGCTAGAAATATAGAAAGATATCCGAAGATATATATAAGAATATAATATCTACTAAAGAAATAAGAATAATTAATATATACCTTATAGACTGCTATAACTAATACTATATAAGGATATACTATAGAAATTTATAGCGATGGATTTTATTATAAAACTACTAAAATTGAAAGAGCTACGAACGGGCATATAATATAATATAATAATAATAATTACGGATTAACTAATAAAGTATACCTACTTTATTTCTTTTATTAAAAAAATAATAGTACCAAATACAATATATATACTTCTAAAACAAGTATTTGTAAATTATAGACTACTAGATAAAATTATATTAAATAGAGATATAAGATTTATAAGTAAGTTCTGGATAATACTTACCAAATAAATAGGAATTAAATAGAAAGCGTCTATAGCGTATCACCCTTAAACTAATAGATAAAGTGAATAAATAAATCAAATTATAAAATAATATCTGAGATATTATATTAACTATGAATAAAATAATTAGGTTAAATTACTACCAATAGTATAGCTTACCTATAACGGAGCTAAGGTAGCCTTAATAGGTATAATACCTTTCTTTATAAATTATAGAAGAGAACTAGAAATAATAAAAATACCTAGAAAAGCGAAGACTTACGCACAAGAAGTAAAGATATTAGTAGAAAAACTACGATTACTATATAAAAATATAAAAAGAGATTTAGAATTCTTAAGTTATAGGATAAGTAACTACTATAATAAGTAACGCATAGAAGCGCTAACCTTTAAAAGGGGAGAGAAAGTATTTCTACTATGACGGAATATTAAAATATTAAGATTAAATAATAAACTAGACTATTAAAAAATTGGACTATTTAAAATTTTAGAGAAAACTAGATAAGTTAACTATAAACTCTAATTATTAGAATATATAAAAATATACCTAGTATTTTATATCTTATTAATTAAAAAAGTACCCTAAAATACCAAACTATACGAACTAGAAATCTAATAAGAAAACCAAGAATAAGAATACGAAGTAGAAAGAATCCTAAATGAGAAAAGGATTAATAGAAAGATTTACTACCTAGTGAAATAGAAAGGCTACGACGATTTAGAAAATACTTATAAGTCTATATAGAACCTTTAGAATGCGACTTAGGTAATTAAGAAGTACTACTAGAGGAAAGATTCTTAAGAAGAGCCTCGAGAGAAGGATTATAAGAAGAGGAGGAGCCTAAAATAGCCTTATCACACTAAGTAAGACTAGAAATAGTAAATAAGGAAGCCGTCACTCGCATACGAATTTACTAATTTTCCTCTATAATAGTAGCTAACTCCTATTAAGCTTTTAATAGTTAAGACTAGAGCTCACGGATCTAATTTAGATAAAAGTAAATATTAGTATCTAAATTCCCTAGATAATATTAACGCTAGAAGTTTTCTTCTTCCTAATAATTTTATAAAGATAAGTAGCTAACGTAGGCGTAGTTCTTGCGAAGATAAGAGGAATAACTTTTACTAGAAGAATCTATTATAAGGCACGGAGTTAAAGAAAAGAAGTAGCTATTATAAGAGAACTCTACTAAGGAACTATATTAGTTAATAATAGCGGCAAAATAAGTACGCTCAGGAGTACGGTTATAAGAAGTACGAATAGACTTAGAAGTACGCGCTATAATAAAAGAAAGACTTACTAAATCTAATATAACGGGAAGATACTCACTATTTATATAAGAGGAAGACTAAGGAAACGATCGGGACGATTCGTTAAGAGAGGAGGGGATAATATTATAGACTACCTGTGGTGTAGCCTAGATAAATACGCTTATTAGATAAACAAGGTTATGGGATGAAAGAACCCAGGAACTCCCTAAGTTATATAATAACTGGAGAGGTCCCAAATACTAAGACTATAGATAGGTCTACGATAGGATCTTAGAGCAAAGGTCTATAATAGGACCTTAGGGAGGAGGTCTAACTTAGGACCTTAGGATAATAGGTCTACATGGGACCTAAGGAATATTCGGAGAATAAGGGACCTAATATAGTATATATATATAAGGGTACTTATCGCCCACTTAATTTCGAGTTATCTTCTAATACTTAAGATTAAAGCCAACTTTATAGCAAGTTATAGCTTTATAGTACTAGTTAATATATATACTTCCCTTTATCTATCTGATATCCCTTAATACCTTTATACTAGACTTGACTAGTGTACTAGCTTTATTTACTTATAAGGACCTCAGAGAGTATATACACGCTGAGCTAGACTTAGAGCTATTACCTTGAAGTCGGATACTAGAGTATCCTTCCTATAGTAAATGAGCACCGTTTATACTCTAACCTATCCATAGAGCACCTTGAGTTATACCTTTCCTCGAGACGCCTCCCTTATCCCTATAAGAGAAGCCCACCCTTTGTAGCAGTTTTACTATACTACTTAATATAAATTCTATTTATCTATAGAAGCTTACTTATATTTAAATACCCTTTTTATCTATTAATTAGGTTATTTTTACCTTTACTACTTATAAAGACCTTTACCCTTTATCTAATATAGGTATTAACTAAAGCTATACTTAGAACTAAGAGATAGCTTTACTATAGTACCCTATCTTACCCTAATCCTAATCTATCTTCTATAATGAATCAATATACCCGCAAATCTTTTAGTATTAAGTCCTTTATACTATAATACGCTTAACCCTCTAACTACCTTTTAGAGTTAAGGAGAGCTAGCCTTATTACACTACGACACGCTTAAACCTCTAACTATCTTTTGAAGTTAAGGAGAGCTAGCCTTATTATATAAAGATAAGGAGCCTCCTTCCTCTATTAGCCTTTACCTTTATATTCTTATTAAATATCCTCTCTAACTATTCTAGGCTATAATTATTAGAGCTCTAGCTATTTAAGGATACTATAAAATACGCCGTTTACTCCTTAGGGCAAAAGGTATCTAGCTAGGTATCTTATAAATCTCCTTCTCCCTTATAAATAAGCATAGAAGGAATCTTTTTACTATTTATAGAGATTATAGTAAGTAAAGAGATAAATTTATAATTTCCGTCTTAAATAGTGGTTATCTTCTTATTTTTTAGTAAATAAATAGGCACTATATATTTAATAGTATACCTAAGCCTAATTAGGAAGCCCTTCTTATTAAAGTTATAAATATTATTAGGGGTAATATTATATTTATAAATTATACTCTCTAGCTAAAGAAGAATATATTAATAAAATAAAGTCTAGTAAAGAGCTTATATCTAAGTACTTATAAGCTTATAAAAATATTTAAAATACGCTAAGTTATCTATAATATATCTATATTAATTAATTACTCGAAGATATTATAATATAATATACCTCTTATAAAATTAAGCTACCTAATTAATACCTATAGGCTATTTAATAAGCTCTAATATAAGATTTATAAGTATCTAGGGTATAGGAGATAGGCCTCTATTAGATAGCTATTTAATATACTATAGAAGGACTTCCTCTTAGGTATCTATTAATTTCTTATAATATTTAGATAAGGCTTCCTTAATAAATATAGTCTTTTCTATATACTACTATAAAAGAGTCTTTCGATCGATTTTCTACTTTCTTACTATCTAAGAATAATTAGGGATATTTTGCGACTTTAAATCTTTAATTGCATAAGTAATTACTTCCTTATTAGGCATATTATTAGTAGTTGGAGATAGGTGGTTATCGCGATAAAGATTTCTATTAGAGTGGTTATCAGGTGGTGGCGGTCATCGAGTGGTGAGATACGTTACGTCATACGCGCTGTCGGAGAAAGAAAGGTGCGGCCAGCATCCTTGGGAATTCAGGATTCCCTGCGCCTCTATCCAAGGTTGTTGGCTGCCATCCCGCCACTCCCGGAGATGCAGCAGGGCTGTGAGACATCTTCTTCTCGCTCCCTCTGTCTGATGCTAGACACTGCTATCGATTGATATACTCCGTACCTGCGACGAGGTACTTCACGTTGCCGCGTCTAGAAGGCCAACCGCCCGGTAGTTTGCATATCTATTATCGTGTTTGCTACTATAACTAGATCACTACCCTGGATTCAGGTTTCAATTGACTTTACCTCCCCCATATTAGCTGTGTATAAAGTGAGCCATGCCTTTCTCTCTCGTTATAACCGGCCGATTCCTTCGTCTCCCTCGCCCTAATCATTGTGAATAGTGGTCATGGCAAAGCTATTAACAATTCGTCATTAACTATCCAGGTCTCCTGAAGATACAACATGCCTCCCATCTTCCCCAGGGACTTACTCTTAGGCACTGTTGCCGTACAAGAATCCCATTTGGGCCAGAAGGGGCAGCTTGAAACTCTGGAAAGTACTATGCTTCCTGTATTACAGGTGGAATACTCGCCTGCGTACGTAACAATCTCGATACACCCATTCCGGGGTTCCACTTTAAGATTCCTTTGCGGTTCATCGACCCTACGACACTTATGTTTTTTTCTCGCATATCTGAAGTTTACTCTTTGGTGTAATGGTTGAGGACACTACCTACTGACGACATATATCTAGGGCTTGACGCACGCTGCCGTGACCCCCATGGACTTAGCGAAATGCCGACTCCAGGTCGACCCAACGATGTATAAGGGCATCCTTGATGCATGGGGGAAGATTGGCCGTGCTGAAGGAGTCCGCGGCATCTTCACTGGTTAGGGCCCTACATTCTTTGGGTATTCGGTGAGCTTCATGTTCCATGAAAAGTTATATAACGGTTCTAGGTTCTGATTTAGGTCTTAGGCCCATGGAGCGTTTAAGTACGGTGGATACGAGTTCTTCAAGAAATACTACGCCGACCTTCTTGGGGAAGACGTTTTTAGCTGCTGGAAAACACCGGTTTACCTTGCTGCAAGTGCAAGTGCTGAGCTTATAGCTAATATTGCTCTATGCCCCTTTGAGGCGGTAAAAGTGCGAATGCAGACTACAATTCTGCCTTTTGCAACTAGGATGTTTTCTGCTATCTCTCATATCACTGCAAAAGAAGGTATAGCAGGGTAAGTTCAAGCTATTTGCACTCGATATAGCATGTATATGTCGCCACTAAGCACTTTTGTAGCCTATATAAGGGTCTGTATCCGCTTTGGGGCCAGCAGATTCCATACACGATAATAAAATTTGCCTCTTTTAAGAAGATCGTGGAGATGATATACACTTACCTCCCTAGTTAAAAGTCGGACTACAACAAAGGGGTATAAACTGCCATTGCTTTTACTAGTGGATACTTGGTTGGTATTCTTTATATAGCCGTCTCCCACCTGGCAGACGTTATAGTGAGCAAGCTTAATGCTAATCAAATGCCCGGAGAGGCTTTCGGGGCTACTATAGCCCGTATCTATAAATAAATCGAATTCGTCGGGTTGTGGAATAGCCTCCCTATTAGGATTGTTATAGTGGGAACTCTAGTATATATTACCCTGGGCAAGCCAGATCTGAATATTTGCTAATATATCTGTGTACACAAGATCGGTCTTCAATAGATAATGTAAGTGCAACCGACTTCGACAAGTCGATAGGTTTAGTCAACGCCGTGCTAACTATTCTACTCTAGTTACGATTCATTCAAGATCTTTATGGGCCTTCCAACTACGAGTAGCCCAACGCCCGCCAAACAAACATCGTGAAAAATACAACATAACTGCCAGGTTATCAACCGATCAACAAATTATAATTTACAAAGTCATTAATAGACTAAGTCTATACTTAAAACTCACAATTGAGACTCCATAAATAATTGCAATACAAGATACGTCCAACTCTGTAGTCAAACCCCGTTGTATAATTAGGACATGTGATCGCAAGGTTAGTTAGACGCCGGCCAGTGGTTAGTTGGGTAACTATTCAGCCAGTTTACTCAAGAGGCGATAGTTATCGAACTTACTCTGTATAATCCTACGATTTCCATCTGCCACTTCAGAAACAAGTGCTCCCACACTTGCGAAGGCCGAGAGAAAATGGCCGAGGGTGAGAAATCGATGCCTAGGGACTGGCTCTCTACCCTTGTCGCAACGCGTATTCTGGTTAGATATCCCGCGCAGCACTATATATAAAGCGCCCGTTTTCGACCAAGGACCTTGGGTTCTGGGTCCAGGCTATATTTCCAGTTGATAATAACAGGGGGCTGCATATCTTGGCCCCTGACGGAGGACTCCGTATGGAGCACAGCAGGGATTCAGTCAGAGGGATGGGCCGGACAACGTGGCTTCGAGAACAGGGAGCCAATGCTACTCTTATTAGAGAAAGCTGAAAATATAATGGCCGCCGCTAGTTATCACATTGAGCCTCCTGCACCTGAACGGAGAATAATATAGCTAGGAACCGCATTTCCTCAAGCTTCGAGATCCACTCCATACTCCTGCTCGGGCATATATATCGTGTACGCCTTGTGAGTCCTCTCTTTCTAGGCAGTCCCACTACAAGAGAATTTTTTGTTTCGATACCACGGGCGGCCGACTAGCCCAATACAATGCGTCCACTATTTTGGAGGGTTCGCGTCCCCATGTCATTATAGGTGAGGGATATGGCTTCCCCCTGGCTCCGAGAATTACGCCGGCCCTGGACTGAAAAGGGGAGGAGGGGAACCAAAGCAGCAATCCTTCGAGCGACGCTTTACGGCTATATATCTCGGCTTATCCTCCCTCCTTAGAACAGAGCGGGATAGTCCTTTACAACTCCATTGTAGTCAATTCGGCTATACCTCTATTTCGCTCATCATCCCATCATCTCTTCATTCCCAGCGTACTGTCGACGTCAAAGTCAATATAATAGAAGACAAGCCCGCTCCAGCCCTACCTGATTATGTTCTAGACCCCGATGCCGTCCTCAAGGACGATATTGCTTGGAGATATAAGCGGGCGCCAGATTACTCGAAAACACGAAAGGTTTACAAAGAAGGTATATCTAAATAAGGATGCGTCCTAGAGCCGCAAGAAACTTGTACTAATTAGTATCCCTTCTAGGTAAGAAAACGAACCACGAAGCTGGCAGCCTACTGAATTTAGTAGAGAATCTCGTGAAGAACTAGGAAATTAAGGCATTATTCAAACCCAACTTTGCTAACTAGTGAATAGTTAATTAAGAAACCTATATTTTTTCTATAAATAGAGGACTAACTCAATCTCCGAGCCATATACTTAGAGTAGGCACATATAATACTATTATCCCGTCTAACCTATACTATAACCCCGAGTAGTCAGACTTTGCAAAAAGCTACAAAACCTTTAAGAGGATAATGCCAACATTCGCATGGGAAGTAATAGAAGTATATAGTGGTCCACCTATGGTGGTATTTAAATGGAGGCATTGGGGACAGATAGTTAATAATTATATTGGTGTAAATGAGTGAGTGTTGCCCTCCCAGACAATTTCCATTTTGGTTCCCCCTATAGGTGGCAATCGTGCTTATGGCAAATATAGGAAAGGGGATAAGGTCACTGTTAAAGCGCACAACGGACCTATCGATATTAAGGGGATAGTTATTATAAAAGTGAACAACAAGCTCCAAATCCAGTCTATTAAGGTTTGGCAGAATCCTATAGAGATATTTAGGCAAATTGCTAAGAACGGAGATATTATTATTACTCCACGAGCGGACGCTAATATAACAAGTAATAGAGATGAAGGAGAGGAACACATATCCGCGTGTCCGATTACTTATTAGTATAAACAATTCTAGCTATGTGGTTTTCTATATAACTTTTAGTTACTATTTCAATTTTATCTTCGTATTTGGTAGCTCAGTAGGGTATCTATAGAATCTAGTATTTACTTAGGGTAGTATATCTTATACCCTTAATAAATATAGTAATTAGTTAACTTATAGTAGCTACTATACCTCGTATCCTTAATTTAACCTATAGTTAGTTCTATTAGAGGTTAGTTCTTAATAATATCCCCCTCTCTAGGAGTTTGGCCTCCGAACCCTACAAAGAATTATACTAAAATAAAATAAGAGCTTAGAGCTTCTACTATACTCTATATAATTTTCCTCTACTATATTTCCCTTTTTAGTTCCCTAGTAGTAATCTAGTAATAGCTCTTCTAACCTTTATTATAATTAAAAATTTTCCCTTTATCCTTTTCCTTCCTTTCTTCCTTTAACTACTATTAATACCTTATTTCTTTCTATATTATTCTTCTCTTCTAACTATTATTATATCTTCTCTTTCTATTAATAGTACCCCCCTACCTTATATATAATACCTAGGTAATATTTATACTATTATAAACCCCTCTAATAATTAGATTCTAGAGTTTAATTATCTATATTAAGTAGATACTCTATATAAATACTATATATATCTAAATTACTTATATAATACTATAAGTTAGATACTTCCTACTATTTTAATATATATACCTTAACTAACTTTTTATTACTACTTACTAAGTTAACCCTAAACTTACCCTACTAGCTAATACCCTAATCTAGACTTATTAGGAATATATTATAAGTATTAATAATAAGAATAGAGATAAACTAATTTAGGTATTCTATATAAAGTTATAGACTACTTAGTAGATCTTTAAAAATAAGTATAGTAGTCTAGCCCGTAGAGCTACTACCTCTAAAGCTACTACTTTTAAGGCCTCTACCCCTACTATAAAAGAGTCTACTACTATAATTACTAGTTATATTTCTACTACTTCTAATTTAGCTATTATAGGTACTAAGCCTATTACTTCTATCTTTACTTAGGTTACTTAAGTAGTCTTAGCCCCGCTTATATTTCCTAACTTAAGGGTATAAGCTATTGATTATCTTCTTCCTAGCTATAAAATTAGAGGTTTATACCCTACTACCTCTATAACTACTACTATTACTACTAGTTCTACCTCTACTACTAGTTTTTCTACTACTACTAATATCCCTATTATAGCTACCCTAGGTTTTATTTCTACTACTACTACTTCTATAGTTACTACTTTAGAGACTCTAATTAATACTCTTACTTAGATTAATAATTATTTAAATACTAGTACTATTTAAAAGATAGTTACTAGGGAGAATATCTCTTTTCTATAGTAAATATTATTATACTCTTAGGCCTATAATAAGAGTACTTCTACCTCTAAATTTAAAGTAGAGATTAGAGATAACTCTAATAAGTTTTATACCTTAATATAAGCTAGTATATCCTACTATTTTAAGAATATTAATATTAGTACTAGCTATATTTCTAATTAGATTTATAATCTATATAAGGACCTTAATAATTATATAGAGTACTTAGAAGTTACCCTTATAATTAATTTTACTAGTATTATAGCTACTATTAATTAAAGGTTTATAACCCTTTTTTAGTAAACTACTTCTACTTAAATTACTTTAACCTCTACTATTTTAATTCCTACTTTTATTATAACTTCTAGTCTACCTTATTAGAGTTATTCCCCTATAAGGGTTAGTGCTCCTATTACCTCTCCTATTAAGGTTTCTACTATTATTAAATTTATTAACTACTACTAATATAGTTTTAATCTCCTTCTATATTAGTTTAGCTCCTTTACTAGGTATAAAGATAGCCCCCTTAGGGCTATTATCTCCTCTACTTCTAGTATCTCTTCTAATAAGGGTAAATATTCTAGCTCTACTACTAAAGTTATTAAGACTCCTACCTCTAAGAAATAATACTAGAATAGGTCCCCTACTACTTTATCTACTCCTAGTATTTAGTCTACTTAATTTAAGTAGTTTATTAAGGTATATATTACCTCGTGCCCCTTTTCCTTTAGGTCTATTCTAATACTAGCTTTTATAGAGGGATACTAACCTCTCTATTTAATTCTAGAACTCTACTACTATTACTAGTAGTAACCTTAATACTAAATCCTTAGAGGATATTTATACTAGGTAGACTTCCGTATAGGCGGATTGGGCGGTTATTAGGGTCTAATGGATTTTAACCGCCAAGACCCATTACCTAAGAGAGCTCTTTTAAAACTACCCAAGACCTAAAGGTAAAAAATCACAACCACCCAATGGGTGAGATTCAAACCCAAAGTTTAAATATAATGCCAAGCCTTAATTAGTAATCTACTAGCGTAGTTAGGTAGGCTTACTAATTATCTATAAAAAGCGCCAAGCCTAGTATTTTTACCTAATTTATTCAATTTATTAGAACCTTTTTAAAAGAAGGACTCATTATAGAGATAATACTTGACTCTATTTTTAAAATCTCTCTAATAGATTGAATAAATTAGCTAAAAATATATAAAAAATATCACTAGACCCTAGCTTACTAGTAGATTATATAAGCGCTAAGAAATTCCAATGGGTGCCAAGAAAACCGTTGGGTGGGTTGGGTGGGTGGGTAGGTATCTCTAAATCCACCCAAGAACTAAGATAGGTGGGTTGAAAACCACCCAAATCAACTATTTAACGAACCCAACCTATTTAACCACGGTTTCCACCCGCCTATACGGAAGTCTAATACTAGGGGTGCCCTAGTCTCTTCTTCTACTACTTCTAGTAAGAAGAATTTACCTTTCCCTATTTATAAAGTCTATTACTCTAAACATTCTATTTAAACCCCTAAGAAGTAATAATAGTTAGCTTCCCTTAGTATTCTAGTAGTAGTTAGCTCCTTTAATACTCTAGGTAGTTTACTCTTCTCTTTTATTTATAGGCTTATATAATTAATATAATCTAATAGTTTTTCTTATTCTAGTATTAGTTTATCTTCTTTTCTAAGAATTTTCTTATATTCCTTAAAGATCTCGGGTATATTCTTAAGGTCTACTTTACTAAACTATATAGCTTCTTCTAAGGGATAATCTAGCTACTTAACTTTAAACTAAGTCTTCCTATACTTTATTTTATAGTCTAATATCTTTTTAATCTCCTATTCTTTATAGTTATCTATAACTACTACTAGAGGGGGGTTAAGTTCCTCCCCTTTCCTCCCCCTAAATAGCTCTAGTAGAGAAATATAGAACACGGGGTATATCTTATAGAATAGAGGTAATACTAAGTAATATACTTATTTACTAATAAGCTCTCTAATTATAAAGGGTCCTATTATTTTACTATTAAGCTTCTTATTTAGATATTATATCTTAATATTCCTTATTAAGAGTATAACCTAGTCCCCTACCCTAAAGTTTATAAAGTTATATTTTCTATTATAGTACTTAGCCTAGTCCTCTCTAGCCTTTTCTAGGTTCTCCTTTAAGGTCTCTCTTATTTTCGCAATTAATAAGGCTCTCTCCTTTATTTAAATATCCTTTAGCTATCTAGGCTCCCCTATCTCTATCTCTATAGGGCTTCTTGGGTAATATCTTATTAAAACTATAAATAGGGAAGTTCTAGTACTACTCTAGTTAGAAGTATTATATATAAATTCTACTAGGGGTAGCTAGTTAATCTAGTTTAACTACTTATAGTTAATATATCTCTATAGGTAGCCTTCTAGAATCTAATTCTAGACCTCTATTTAGCTATTTGTCTATAGTTAGAAGGCTATACTAAGCTTCCTATTTATCCTTAGATAGTAGTATAGGGTTAATTAGAAGTTACTAGTAAAAAGGGCGCCTTTATCTATAATTATCTCTTTAGGGGTACTATACTTAGTAATTATTTCCCTAAAGATAATATCTATAAGGTTCTCTACTTTAATCTTTTTAGT